AACATCACTGTTTTACACAGGTTATTCTTGACAGATGAATCAGAACATCTGCAGCTCTAGTATAATGGTAGTTAAAGCTGACATTAATCATGTCTTTTCATTTTATTTTATTTTTTCCCAATGGCATAATTTCAAATTAAGATCAGCTCCTGCTCCTCTTCTCCAGACCACAGCGACTGCTGCTGCTGCTGCTGCTCTGAGGTTGCTGTCCTGTGGGAAGTTGGCCCCCACCCCACAGAAAAGTCAGTGAAAAAAACCAGTAACACAAACTATTGATGTAAAAGCTTGTAAGTTAGCTTTTAAAACAGCTTTGAATAAAAAAATTAAAAAAGAGAAACCTCAATTTTGTATCAGATCTGCTGGGGCATAAATTTGTCACTGTTGCAGACGATTGTGTCAAACATGGTTCCTATCAAGGTCCTACCTCATGTGCGAACCCAAACTGATGGGGAAGGGTAGTTTTCATAACTAAACTCTAGACGGGTAGTTACAGGATCTGTGTTCCTAGAACCTCTCTGTCCAAATGCACCTCATGAAAGGGTCAATCTGAAGCAAGCTTTCAAGGAACGTCAGACCCCTGGGATTGGCAGTTTTTAGATGAACATCTTTAAGAAAACTTTATAGATTAATAGATATAGGCTTTAAAATGACCAAATAATAATTATGTATTGATCTCTGTCTCTCTCTCTATTCCCACATATAGGCTATCGGTGCGTACACACCGAACGCAATTTGGGTGTCAAGAGCGTCAGGTTTACATGCAAAGTCAATGGCCGATGTGCGTTGAGGAGGCGACGAAAACCCTGTGGCACATTGCGCAAGTCGGGCATGGCGCATCTAGATGCGTTTCACGTGTTGATTTTTGAGCATTTGACGTGAGTTACATGTGTCATGGGCAGAATACGCCGGAGTTGGAAAATCAGCCAATCAGAGAAACTCAATGTCATGACACCGGCACACATTTTATGACAGGACGGGGACACACCCTGAACAACCAGGGGAATCTCCTCTCTCTCTGAAGACAGAGGATGAACCATGACCGGTCCCGGTTTCTGGTGGCGGTTTGATGACCTGCTGTGCCGATGGGATGTACTGGGCTTATAACGCTGCCCTGCATCGGGATAGTGGGTTGTTAAACTGGTCTGGATCAGATGGCTGAAAGCACCAGTGCAGCTCCAGGAGTAAATGATGAAACTCATCACACTCAGAACAGCTGGAATCATCTGGTGAGCCTGCGTCCATCATTGTGCAAACTGACCAGTGAAAGGAAAAAAAGAGGAGCGGCTCCTCCTGACGCGCGTCGAGTGCGCCTTCCTGGACATCCCTCAACACGTGTCGGGGGCATTAAAACGCTGAGAATCAAGCGTCTGACTTTTTAGTGACCCAGCGTCTAACTGGGCATCAGGCGTCTCTGACGGCCAAATCGCGTTTGGTGTGTACGCAGTAGTAGCCTGGTACACCAGCCTGACTATCGCCATGTATGAGATACACGGCAAGTCAGTCTGGGTTCCCTCCACTGGGAAATGATTTCCACTCTGGTAAAAAATTGACCGGACCAATCACAGCGCAGCAGCAGAATTATTAACAGAAGGTAAAACTCCTACGATGTCTCCAACGCTTCTGCTCTGTTTTGGTGCTTAACTAACAGCTTCTGGGTCATAGTCACATGATGTGCGACACAAACGCTTTCTCATATTTGTATTTCGGCAAATAAACTATGCTTACATGTAACAGAGTATTTATAATAATTAAACCAGACATTCTATGTTAATATACGCAAGAAAATTACATTATATATAGAGAAAAACACTGACTTCCAGCGTCGCCATAGCAACATAGCAACAGAGTGCCAAACTACGCCAGCTACAGTCACCTCTGATTGGTTCTCTCTCCGGTTCACTTCCTCCTGTTAGTCCCGCCTCTCGTCTAGCATTGGAAATCAGTCTCCAGTGGAGGGAACCCAGACTGACTTGCCGTGTATCTCATACATGGCGTTAGTCAGGCTGATGTACCAGGCTAACACAGTAGGGCTGGGCGATATATCGATGTGAAAAATATATCAATATATCGCCAATTAAGATATGGAATTGGACCATATCGCAGATATCAACATATAAAGTTCAATATTTGTTTGTTTTCTCTTTTTATATAAATGACAACTTTACTAGGGTTTGTTATATTTATTTCTGTGTATTATTATATACAGTATTTCTGTTTGCATTTTATCGTTCTTTGAAGACCTGAGC